TCGCGGTTTTTTGGCGAAATGTCAGGGGGTGGGGTGGCGGGGAAAAAATACGAGGTGATTGACGGGAGGTGTGCGTCACTTCCGCAGCGTGAACACACTCGCGGCGATTGTGACATCGTCGCCCCTGCTACCAGTTGTGGGAGACCCCTGGCGTTATTGCGTTGGAGACGCCATTGTTGTGGCGGAGAGGTGGTGTCGGTTTGAAATTGTGAGACCTGCCTCAGATTTGATATTAGTGCCGTCCTTATGCATCAGTCTAGTACTTGAGTGATTATTTATTTTTTTTTAGTGTGGGTTACAGTGTGGTGTAGTGATGACTGAGTGTTAGAAAGCTGCAGTGCGAAAATGTGTCTGAGAAACGCTGACGGGCCTATCGATTGGAGCTGAGCCTAGGAAGCCACCTGCCAGGAAACCGGCCTGTCTACTGTGCCGTCCGTTCGGAGCGCCGATTCTGCGTTCCTGCATCTTCACCTTCCCCCTCCCCCACCTTCACTTTCCCCAACTCCCCAGTCCTCGCACCCTATCCCCTTTATTTCCTATTTACCCCCTCAGCGTTTCAAGCAATAAGACATGGATCACACTTGCTGCTGAGAAGTACTCGCCGAGGAAAAAGAGGCGCAGCTCTGTTGGTACTAGGTCCTTGTGTGTATTGTGTGTATTTTTCCTCCTTTCCTCCACCGTTAATACGAGTGACTTTTTTTTCGTTTACAAAATAAAACTCATTCCCACTCTTAGTTAAAAGGAGAAACGATATTTAGAGCTGCTCCCGAAGATAATATCTGTGGGCGAGATCGTTGCAGCAGGATTTTCCGAAGGAAGGAAGTCAAGAGACAAACGTGGATCCGATTCCTTTAGATTTAAAAAAAACTGTGCCGAGACGTACTGCATTGCGGCTTTGTAATTAAAAGGAAGAGGGAAAATAAACTGAATATTTTTGAACTCTTTACCTTGGGAAATAAATCCTTTGGACTTCGTACAATTTCTTGGACATTTAAACTATACCATTGACTTTTGAACTATCCGGTTTATTAGTGAGTAAAACAGCTAGTATTTAATTTTGTGCAATGTGCAGTTGAAAACCAGTTATTTCCTGACTTTACCATCCAATATAGTGTTTTTTTTTTATAAACTTGCTTTAATACAACAAAATCTAAATACTTGAATTTCAGATATTAAATTGTGAAAAAGAGGACTTTTTTGTTTTTTGTGTTTTGCAGTTGTAGAAGGGTAAAACTTTTTTGGGTAAGGCTTGTCCCATTCAAAAAAAACAAAAATGTCGTGTGTACATTACAAATTTTCTTCTAAACTGAACTATGACACGGTCACTTTCGATGGGCTTCATATTTCTTTGAGTGATCTAAAGAAGACGATCATGGCCAGAGAGAAGCTGAAGGCGGCAGACTGCGATTTACAGATCACCAACGCACAAACCAAGGAAGGTAAGTTAACCCCAACTTCTTATTTCCATTTAAATAATGTTTATTTTTCTGCCCTTTGTTCAGTGTTTCCTCTATCTCGTATGGTAGACAAGATGGCGTATGTTTGCTAGATTGGTCCGAATTCCTAAGGACATCCTTACACGTTGAGGCAAACTAAACCAAATGCATTAAACCTAGTAACGACATAACTTTTTTTTTCAGCATAAGCCTTTTAATCTTCACTGCTGTTTTATAACGATTTTTTTCAGTCAACCGCGGTATCTATATCCCCGATCCCCAAACGAAAAATACATTTCTTGTCCTTTGTCATCTATAAACTGGCTTTCCGCCCTTCAGAGGCATATTTAGAAAGCAATGATGCAAGAATTTAATCTCCAATTAATGTTCCTTGGGTGTCATCTACCCATCTCTCTGCGTCGTTTCGAAGACTGCCCTTCGGACTGTCTCGGTCTGAAGGGACGGTTGGTGTATAAAGTAACAATTAGCAAGGATCTTTGCGTTCGTGCTTTCGCACCCGGCTGGAATTATTTTAGACGCATCAGTAAAAATGGATGGCTGCACGGATAATTGATTCGAGATTAATTTTTGCGTGGCGTATAGGTTGGTATACCATTATATTTGTAAATACACGTGTATTACTCGCTGGCTTTCGAGACTGCAGTTGTCTGGGAGTTGGTTTGCCATGCATTTTGTTGTAAAGTATGAAAATTCTGTAGCATTGGAATAAGAGAACCTGGATATGGCTTCAGTATTTTAGGTCAACATGAATGTTAGAATTTGTTGAATGCAGATATTTGGACCTAACATTGTACGGGGAAGGACTTTGCCATTTTTGATAACCATTTCTATAGTTTACAATGTCAATAATGCACTTGCTACTTTTGATCTGCCTGCAGCATTTACTGGTTAACCAAGCCAACCTCCTCATCCTTGAAGATTGATTCACATGTAGATAGGGTAGTGACGAAGGTGTTTGGTACACGTGTCTTTAATGGTCAGTGCATCAATATAGGAGTTGGGATGTCATATTACAGTTGTACAGAATATTGGTTAGGCCACCTCTCGAATACTGCATTCATTTCTTGTGTCCCTACTTTTGGAAACATGTTGTTAAACTTGACAGGGTTCAGAAAAGACTTACAAGGATGTTGCCAGGTTTGGAGGCTTTGAGCTATAGGGAGAGGCTGAATAGGCTGGGGCTATTTTCCCTGGAATGTCAGAGGCCAAGGGCTGACCTTCTAGATGTTTATGAAATCATGATGGCATAGATAGGGTGAATAGCCGAGGCCTTTCTCCCAGGATAGGAGAGTCCAAAACTAGAAGGCATAGGTTTAAGGTGAGAGGTGGGAAATTTAAAAAGGATCAAAGGGGCAACCTTTTCACGCAGAGGGTGGTGCATGTATGGAATGAGCTGGCAGAGAAGGTGGTGAAGGCTGATACAATTACCACATTTGAAAGGCATCTAGATGGGTACATGAATAGGAAGGATTTAGAGGGGTATGGGCCAAATTGCTAGCCCATTATGTTTGGTCACTGCCATAAATTAGAATTCTCATGCTACTGCTTTGTCATCTTGGCCAGAGTATACGGTGGGAGCAGACAGTTCCTAAACTTGATGAACTCCACTGTCCTGTTGGTTGGTCATCCTTCCATCAGTGTCTATTAAGTTTGTCCTGAGCTTTGTTGCCCTTATCCGAAGTACACTAAGAACCATTCGCTCATTACCAATTGCTGATGTGTTAGCCTCCAGCCCGTTAACACCTCAAGTTTTAAAATTCTAATTTTGTTGTTTAAATCCCTTAATAGTTTCTCTCCTCTTTATCTGTAACATTTCCAGACCGAGAATTGTGGTCTCTTATGCATCCTGTGTTTTTTCACCCTCTGTTGACCATGCTTTTGAGGCCCTCTGCTGAACCTCTTGTTAAGCCTACGTCTCATTAAACCATCGGACACTGTACTAATGTGTCTTCCTATGTCATTTGACTTGTACTGCTGTGAAGCACTTTGGGATGTTTTACTGTAAAATATGGTACATACAAGCTTTTCTGATTAGTAAGTCATTCTTTGTATAAGCAGTCTAATTGCCTTATTTTCTGGTGTATAGACTGTCATTGAAGATGCTTTTTTTCTAGTTGTGAGTTCTAGAACAAGGACATTAAGTAGCTTGCGTGTGTCCTGATTAAACTTGGTCAATTGGAATAAACTATGATGCAGGACATTAAACTGGATAAATGCATTGGTAGACAATTTCAAAACTGTTCAGTTTTGAGACTTTGCATGTTGATCTTCAGTGATTTGCGCTGATTGTTTTCCAAGTTAACACATCACTTTATTAATCATCCAGTTTCAGTTGGAAACAAATTGGTTTCTGTGGGAGACTTTTTTGTGAACTTGAGTTCCTTAATGTAAAGATTCTCTACTTGATTCCCTGTGTGATTATTGCACTTTGATTCAATGTGATGGATATGTGACACAAAATGATAGTGGAGATGATTTTGATCTGACAGGTTATAAATATGGAGAGTACTTTTAATACTTTGTCCAATGTATTTATCGCAGTAGATTTTATCTGCCCCTCAAAAAATCCGATGGTGAGGATTATAAATTGTGAGCAGACAAGCACGTTTTTATTTCATGTTTCAGTTTCTTCAACTTAAATTTTACTGTTCACCTGTCACGTGTAATTCTTTTCCTTCCCAGTTCCTTTAGCTTCTGTATTTCTGTAAGATGTAGTTGGACAGTGTTAGCTGCTGCTAATATAGGAGAGTATCGTACAGCCCTTCCTTCCTTATGTGTTTTTTGACTGGTTTCATTTAATTAGCCAGTAAGATGGTTGCCTAGAAAAAAAAAAGGCATATTTCCCTTGGGTTGTTTGGGAGTAACGAAGGAGTAGGTTAAATGACAAGCCGGACAATTGTATATCTATGGATCATACAAACTAATCTACAACCTTTTAAATGTACTCCACTATAAAGTGCTTTTTTACCAGATACTTGCCAAGCAACATTTGACACCAAACCAAGAAAGGAAGTATCAAAGATAGCAGGAACTGCAGATGCTGGAGAATCCGAGACAACAAGGTGCAGAGCTGGATGAACACAGCAGGCCAAGCAGCATCATAGGAGCAGAAAGGCTGACGTTTCTGAT